CAGGCAGGTCTGAGGCTGGGATCGGGATCTCGGAGCCATGACAACGTTGGGCATGGGGCAAAGCCGTGATCTGCTCCCCACATGGTCCTGCCTGCAAAACCAGCACCTGTTGCAGGGATGTGAGGGCAGCCGATTGTGGCTCTGCCTCAGGACCCAGCCTTGTGCTGTTGCCACACTGCAGTCCTGATCCCAGTTTCATAGTTGGTAGGGTTGGAAGGCACCTGAGCAGATCGTCAAGTCCTACCCCATGCCATGGGCAGGAAAGAGTGCTGGGGTCAAACGACCCCAGCAAGGTATCTATCTAGCCTCCTTTTGAAGACCCCTCAGGGTAGGAGCGAGCACCACTTCCGTTGGAAGTTGGTTCCAGATCCTAGCTGCCCTGACTGTGAAGTAGTGCCTTCTGATGTCTAGCCTGAATCTACTCTGTCAGCTTATGGCCATTATTCCTTGTTACTCCCAGTAGTGCTCGGGGGAACAGGGACTCTCCCATTGCCAGGTTTCCCTTGGCTGGTTTATAGATAGCCATGAGATCCCCTGTTACCCTTATTTTGTGGAGGTTGAAGAGGTTCAGGTCCCTTAGCCTCTCCTCAGGGGCTGCCCTGCTGCCCCCTGATCATGCAAGTGGCCCTTCTCTGGACCCTCTCCATGTTGTCCACATTCCTCCTGAAGTGCGGTGCCCAGAACTGTACGCAATACTCCAACTGCGGCCTGACCAATGTCATATAGAGGGGGAGGATCACCTCCTTGGACCTCCTTGAGATGCATCTGTGGATGCGTGACAAGGTGCGGTTAGCCTTCCTGACTGCATCCCCACATTGGCAGCCCATGTTCATCTTGGTGTCTATAATGACTCCAAGATCCTTTTCTGCCTTTGTGCTGAGGAGAAGGTAGTTCCCCAGCCTGTAGGTATGCTGCTGGTTCTTTCTCCCTAGGTGCAGTACCCTGCACTTGCCAATATTGAATCCCATCTTATTCTCACTCTGGCCCCACTCACCCACCCCACTCCCAGCCTGCCCAAGGCCTCATCCCATATGCCCAGCTAAGCATACCCCGCCCATGTGGGTTCCCGGCTGGTCTCCATGGAAACCCTACCCACTTGCTTTGTCTGGTGCCCCCAGTGGTGGGTGTGGGGCAGATAAATAGGTTGGGGTGCCTGGGCAGCAGGGCTGGGTCTGGTGGCAATGGTAGAGACTGGTAGAAGCAGCTAGGAGCTGCCACTGTGGGGGCTACCAGGAAACAAGTACAGCTGCAATGCCACCCCATCCCCACTGTACACACCACAGCCTGGGCTATCCCCTGTGCTTTGGCTGGGTGGGGTCAAGGGACCTGTTGTGGGCTGGACAAAATCCCTTGGTGGGCCAGATCTGGGCCATGGGCTGTATTTTGCCCACCCTTGTCTTAAATAGAAATAGTAACTTACAAGTAACTTGCAGATCGCCTAAATGTAGCCCAGCAGCTTGGAGAGCAACATCTGGCTGGTAAGTCTGTGGAGGGGGAAAGAGGGGTGGCAGATCAGGGCCCCCACAGTGAGAGAGGGAGTGTGGCAGGGGCTGGGAGGGGCGCAGGGCAGAGCCACAGGCAGCTTGTCCAGGGGGCTGGGGAAAGGGGCTCTCTGCTACTGTGTGCCTCCCTGAGGGAGGCATGGGGGGCATGTTCCTCCCCCAATTTGTGCATGGGGCAGGGGTGGGCTGACCTCTTTCCAGTGGGGGGGAGGGAAGGGGGGGGG